TTATTTATACTAAACTAACAGAGAATTTAATTAATAAATATAAGACAATGATAGTCACTAATGATAGTACGATTGATTTAGGACACTCGATTCTGAGATGATACTTAAAATAATGTGTAAAGTCTATATTTTCAGTTTCTAGAAAACAATCATTTCAACAAATCTGGAATAAAAGATCGCCTTATGAGATTTAGAAAATGTGTACTCTTTCTTTAATCTTAAACTCAAATGTTTTTTAACTCAAATTTTAATCTTAAATCTTTAATCTAAAGCTCAATCTCGCATGGTACGATGATATTCTTCATTACAAAAAAATATTAAGAACCTGAGATCTAACGAATTATACTCTTTCCCTGTTCGATTTCACACGATACGACTAATATTTTAGCTAAAAACAGCAATAGAAAGAAGTAGTGATAAGAAAATTGAAGTTTACAGTATTCTCTGTCACCGATAAAGATTGATGACGATTCGTTGAATATTTTCTTATAGCGTTTGAGATCGATAATCGGTTTGACATTTTACGATGTAAAATGCTAAGTAGAGTCAACAGTTACGGTCAGAACCGTGTTGCTCGCGATAACCCAGTTACGTTTTAAGGAGGGGGTTAACAAATGATTGTTCGGTGGCCGTATAATCCAGGGCACATAGGAATTAGCATTTTCTTACGTTCGCATGCGGACAATCTCCGTGACGGTCAGTCATGCAAGGGCTATAGATTTTTCGAGGTCTTACGATTCAAGAAAGTGCGTAATACTACGGACTATGACTGGCAAAAGTTACTAAAAAAATAGTATTAATAAATTATGATGTCTGTTGTATTTCCAATTAAATAATAAAGTATGAACATGCTAGCTTCAAACTTCTTCTAATTAAAATCTTCTGTTTAATATACTAATACTTGTTGTGCCACGTATACATAAACGAACGACTGATTCATACGTGGAAACTAAATCGATCAATCAATGCCATGTTTACTCATGAGAATAAATGATTATATTTAATTTCATATTTAATTTCAAAACACTGGGAAATTGATGCGATTTAACAGGAAGAACTTATGAATGAAAATTTGTGGAACAATTTTATAGCTTCTGACGTTTAACCGGAAGTCCGGAAGTTGCTGAGAATTCTACGTTACTGATAATTTCGAAATGATTTTCGCGCAAGTAGAAAATACGATTGTAATTGCAGTTGGAATTGTAGTTAGATGATCGTATTTTTTTGTACTTACTGCGAAGACCACCTGGTTCACCAGCATTTCACTTTATTACCTTTCTGCGCAACGCTCCTTCGCAAACTGTTAATCGAGCGAGCGACCATGCTTCACCGTGTAGCCATGGTTACAAGTGCTAACTGAAACTTCAACCTTACCCAATACAATTGGAAAGTAATAAGTATTTTCAGATCGTTTAAAGCCCTGGATCTCTTATTCTTGGATCCATAATTGGAATCTAATTCAACGCGAAGAAATTCAAATCAGTTTTGAACTAATTTCTTTTTATTGGACTCGGAGTTTATTTCGATTATTGTATTCAGTATTCCTTCTTGCAACGACGTCACTAGCTTCAATTACGTGGCCAGAGTCGATAACATTTAAACAATAGGTTCACTCTGTCAAAAAGTGTACTAATAATTTAATTGATTATGAAATAATTTTTATTCTTCTTAAAATTCTGAAAAATGCTTC